GACCCGGCGGGTTGACCCGGAAACCCGGACGACCCGGAGGACGACCTAGCAAAACCCGGTGGTAACCCGTTGACTTTTATTTATTTTTTATTAAAACGATGTCGTTTTGAATTTTTTTTAAAATAGAAATTGACCCAGCTGATCTGGTCAAAACCCGGAACCCGGGACTTGAACCGGGTCAGCCACCAGACCAGGTTTAAAAACTATGGTTACGATGTTGTCTATATTGAAAACAATTTATGTCTGCAGTATGTCTGTGTTTACTTCCACGCTTTATCTACAGGAATGCTGCCTACAGTGATTCACTAACCTTTTTTTTGTCAAAGGTCATGAAAAGCAACTGTACAACTCCACAGTTAATTATCTCTTAGTCTACAGTGCATGTTCAATAAAAATCCCACATGTGTTTAGAGTTTTTATTAATAATTTGGTTCTTACACGGATTGATAACATTTTTTTTTCTTATCTCATTAGATGGTATTTTTCGTGCTGAATAATTCTTTTTCTAGGGTTTTCATATATTATAATTTACTCAAATAAGAAACTAATTATAAGAAACAAACTTATTCAACACAATTATATTCATTATTATATTTCGATATCAAATATTTTGATTTACTTTTATTTTTTAATTTATTTTTTGGTTATCTTTGATGATTTTTTTTTGTATTCATTAACATAAATAATTCTTAATTTATTTAATTAAATGTACATCAACTTTTTAATTTATAATTAAAATATTTTTTAAAGTATAAAAAACACATTAAAAAAACCTACCCTTTTTATTTGTTGAAAAAAAAATCAAATCAATGTCACAAGGGAGTGAGGAGAAAGTAATGGTTTTATTTTATATATAACACTAATTATTTGAACTGTATTTTATGTTGGGTTGCTGATTTTAAAAAAAAAATATATATGAATGTTTTTTTGATATGCTTTTTATATCATAAAATTTAAAGTATAAATCAAAAAATTTATGCAAGTACCTAATCAAATATATTGATAATCGTCTATATAAATAAACAAAAAAAATATTTAACAATAATTAAAAGAGTAACTAGAAAAGTTGATAGATGAATATAAATCAAAATACTTGATTCCGTAAAATAAGACTTTTACTTATTTTTGTATATTAAATTTATTTATTAAAATTAATAAAAAAATAATAGAAATAGAAACACATATAAATTTAATTCAATAAAATAAAAACACATATGCAAGAACGAACATATTAAAAAGATTATTTCAAAATAAACATATTTTTTTTATAAAATAAAGCTCATTTATACAAAATAATAAATCTTTAAAAATTAAATACAAATAAATATTTATTTTTTTATAAAAAAACTTTATTTAAAAAAGACCTGCAAAACTTATAGTCTAGGTCATGAAATCAGGATAAACTGATAGAAAATAAATTGAAATTGACCTCGAAACCAATTTTATTTTTTTAAAAAATATAAAATTATAAAAGAAAATAAAGAAAAAAATGATGTTAAACTGCGTTGAATTTTCAAACTTATTACTCATGTCATTATATTAGAAGCACTATAAATTGAAAAATAATAAAAATCAATCCCTAACAAATTAAGTGTGACTATATGATAAATGACAATTTAAAAACTAAATTGAAAACACAATATTTTTCATAAAAGGACAGGAGAAAAAATAAACAATAAAAAATATAAGAATTCAAATTAAAAAAAAAAAACAAACATATAATTTCTATAAAAAACAAAAAAAAATAAAAAAAACCATCAATAACAATCAACTCATTATTTATCATCACAAATTATATCAATAGGAAGAAAACTTAAAAGACATGACTGAAGGACAAGTTTGACTTAAAAGACATCACAAATTATATACTTTCTATGCATCATTTAAAAGAAGTGAATGTTATCTACACTCCAACCACTTTTTTAAATAAAAATTTAAAACTATCATAATGCTTTTCTTGAGCTTGAGAATTGCAAAAAAAACAGTGCGTGGAAGTATAAAAATGAAGCTTTGTTTTTATCTTTTTTCTAAGGTTAAAAATATGTTTTATTTCATTTTAATACCCATGGATAAATAAGTAGCTTTATTGTTTTAAAATTTTTAAATATATAAAAAGATCAGATTGCTAACAAGCAAGTGAAAAGGATCAAATTACCCCACCACGACGACGGATCCTGTTTTTTCAATCAAAGGATAAGATGGTAATTTGAGAAACTGCAATCTAGAAAATCCCACGTACTGTGAATTTTTATTTAATGTTATGTTAAATTTCGTGCGGTTCACATTTGACAAAATCGGATAAATATTTGCACGTGGAATTTGCCCAAGCGTTCGACATTCGATCAATTCTACGAACAGCAGAGGAGAGGATCAAATGGATTTGGATCCACAGAGTAAAAAGAGGACCTGACACTTGACACCGCTATTCCATGTCGGTATCTTCATCATTCCGCGCTGGTCAAGTCAAACGGTGTGATATTTATATTCCTACCCAATGATTCCCTGCCAGCTGTGAAGCCCTTTGACCACGGGAGGACCACCGCCCTTTGTTCCCGATCCATCTCTCTTGCGTGCCGTGGTGAAGCTTCCGTGCGATGATGTATTTCAACCCCTTTTTTTGAATTATTTTTTGTTTGGAATTAATATTTGCTTAGATATTTTTAAAAGAATTTAAAAATTATTATTTCAATATATTTTTAATTAAAAATTATTTTAATAAAAGTAATCACACCGAGTTACTATATTGTTTTAAGTAAAATTAAAAATAATATCTTAGAATTAAATTTTTGAACTTGAAAAGGTTTTAAATTAGTATTTTTAATGTTTTTTATTATTTTATTGTGCTGATATTAAAATTTAAAAAATATTATTTTGATAATTTTTTAAAAATGCTTTGAAAAATAAACTATACCACCCTTCCAAAAATGCTATTAATCAGCCTAGTTTCACCCACTATAACAATATTATTCAAAAACCTATCGTTGAATATGTAGTAATTCAAACCTGTAAGAATATACTTCACTTGATCCACCTTGCCTGGTTCTAGTGATGAAATAATAGTTACAAGCTCATGGGATAAAATCCTTAGGTCATTATCCATCAAGAATTACTATGATCGATAGAGTATCTGCTAGGCGTGGTCGGTTTAACCTCATACATTGTTGATCGTGACATGGCGTGATGTGATAAGTCAATGGTTAATAATGAGGAGGCACTGACTCCTGCCAACACCAAGCCTATTCATGTCAAGGAATCTATCTTATCCTCCTCTGCTTCAATGTTAAAAAAGAGATATTCCTGCGTTCGTTCTCTATCTACTCTCGAAGAATATATATGCACGCAGAGAGAAAGAGAGGGGGGGAGGGAGGGAGAGTAACTAGACAGGAGAGCAGAAAACTAGTTCGATCTTGTGTTTTTCCAACTCCTTTTACCCTTCTTTCAGCTTACTACTTTAATGGCTGAAAACCTGAGAATCATCGTTGAGACAAACCCCTCACAGTCACGACTCAATGAACTTAACTTCAAGTGCTGGCCCAAGTGAGTCTCTCTTAATCTCCCCTACATGTATATATAGATATGTAGTAGCTAGCTAATCATGAAAGTAATGATCTCTTTTCATATATGGCTGTGGTAGTTAATCCAGAGTTATGGTTCTTCGTTTTGTTGCCATGAAATAGATGGGGCTGCTCTCCAGGGAGGTACCAGCTAAAGTTTGATGCAGAAGAGACGTGCTATTTGGTGAAAGGCAAGGTGAAAGTGTACCCAAAAGGGTCTTCGGAGTTTGTGGAGTTTGGTGCAGGGGATCTTGTGACCATACCCAGAGGACTCAGTTGCACCTGGGATGTGTCTGTTGCTGTTGATAAATACTATAAATTCGAGTCATCTTCATCCCCGCCACCTTCTTCGTCTTCATCGCAGTCCAGCTAGCAGTGTCCCAAATGTTATCTCTTCTTCCTCTGCATGATCAATCAATTTATTCTTTTGAATTTGATTATGGTCAGCTTCTATTATTGAGATTCTTCTCTCTCCTTCCGCTTCTTTCTATATATTTGTTTTCTTTGCTGGGTGGTGTGCAAGGCGGTGGTGGTGGTGGTGGTCTCTTGGTCAAAGAACGGGAAAACGATTAGTAAATTAATGCATGCGCTATATTCAAACTAATCTTCTTTTTCGAGTCTTTAAATAAGCTTTTAATGTCCCCGTTGACTGGTCAAATCTAAGATATTTTTTTTATTGTTTCAGTATTTCACGGTGAGAGGGATGAGTGGCACTTGTCTGTAGGGAATGATTTGGACACTAATCTTTGTTTTTATCAATGGGAATGCTCTTATTGCTGTAAAGACGAAGATGCCCACTTCTGACTGCCTTTCACAAAAACAGAAAAAACGTTTTAGGATAGGAAAAGCTGCTGGGTCAAAAATCAAATAAGTTGTTGATGGCTTTTATGACTCCTAAGAGCCATTAACTACTTATTTCATTTTATTGGTTTTGTTATGTTTGATTTTTTAAGTTTTTTTATTAGAAAATATACTAGATTAATAATATATATATATATATATATATATTTAAGTGTTTAAATTTTATTATAAAAACATAAAATAATATTTTTTTTAAAACAGTTTACTATCACAAAAACAAACATAATCTTAGTTAAAAACACTTAAGCTTCTTTCTTGTTTTTTATCATGTTTATAAAATTACAAGCTTTAAATTAAAATCTACCATGAATTCAATTGATGAGTTGTGTTAAAATGATGGGATGAGTTGTATTAATATGATGGGTTGACTTGTGACTCGATGAGTTGTGTTAAAATGATGGGATGAGTTGTATTAATATGATGGGTTGACTTGTGACTCGATGACCTGAGGCTCAGGTTGAGTTAAATTTTAAAAGAAATTTGGAGAAAATTGATTTAATATGAAACGATTAAAAACTCGGTTTGACCTATGATCTTGTTAACTCATGGAAAACTTAATCAAAATTGTGACAAAACTCATTGACTGTTTTTTTAAAAAATAATATCATTTTTACTTTTTTTATAAAATATTTTTTTTTACTTAAATTAACTCAAGCTAACCCACCTGACATGTAATTCAGTGCTTATCCTAGACTACTTCTTGAAAAATAAGAGGATAGTCTAAAGTTAATGGCAAAATAAAAAATAACAAATCAAATTAAGAATCCAAAAAAAAAAAAACAAAGAGAGTGTTATCCAAATTTTAAACAAGGTAAAAAATCAATATCATGGATCATTGAAAACAAATTAAAATTTAATAAAAGGATTAAAAAATAAAAATAAAAATCAAGATTGTGGATCTAAGGGTGAAATTAAAACAATAAAAAAATAAAAATTAAGATTGTGGATCTAAGGGTGAAATTAAAAATAAATCAAAATTTAATAAAAAATCTAAGAATTAAACTTAAAAATCAAAATATTGAGGTTTAAATAGAAATGTCATAAAATAAGAGGCAAGGTCAATTTTAAAAATCATGACAAACATTAAATTCATTAGAAGGAGAGTATAAAGAGAAAAGGTTATCATGACGAACATTAAATTCATAAAGAGGAAAGTGTAAAGAGAAAAAAAAAACAAATGAGTTGACAATATAACAAATCATTGTTGAAAATACCACAAGCATCACTCTTTGTGGAACAGGATGCTGTGGAGCTTCAAACTTCATAGCAGAAGTTGGCTTTCTTTCATTGAATAATGGCTCACGTGTCGCTTAAAAAGCATAGAGCTACCTCACACACGAGCGCATGTTATTCACGTCCTAACAAAAAAAATTTAATATTTTTTTTAAAAGTAAGACTGAATTGCCCTTGTCTCAATTTAATAATAACAAAAAAAAACCTATAAAAAGTAATAGAAACACTCCCATATCAAAAACTTAGAAAATTTGATTTTAAAGGCAATTTAATAATTGTAGTTTTTTTTTTAAAAAAAAATACCCGTTAAAGTAATTAAATGAAATTAACTTTCAAAAAAAAAACAAAAAAATACCTGTTAAAGTAATTAAATGAAATTAACTTTCAAGGCTAATTTAGTAATTTTAGTATACTTACAAAATATAAGATGACTAAAATGACCATAATGAATCTAGCAAAAAAAAAAAAAAAAATTAATGAAAATACTGAATCACCCCTTTAGTAAGTCACGTTGTTATATTGAATCACCCCTTTAGTAAGTCACGTTGTTTCTTAAGATAAAGATAAAATAATAATTTTATTGTGCAAAATACAATTTGTCTTTAGATATTACTAGATATGTCCTATGCTTCATGGCAAACCAAAAAAGTGTTAGGCTAAAAAAAATCAATTCTCAAGTTATTAGATCAGGTGATATTTTAAATAATATGAAAAAAACAAAAAGATAGTTGACAAAAAAAAAGAGATAAAAATAATTACACTTGAGTTTATTCAAATTATTAAATATCTCAATATTAACCTAATAAAAATAAAACTTTTTTCTAAAAAAAAAGAAAAGAAAACATCAACTTAAAAAAAAAACCAAGAAAATAATATCTTAAACTTGATCTAATCTTGAAAACTTGCAACTCATTGAGTCATGGATCTAAGTTCAATTAAAAAACTTAATTGTTAACTAATTTAATTTTTAAGGATGAAATTGTTGAAAAATAATTAAAAAAACTTGAAAAGGCATTAAAAATGAGGATAAGTTTTGAGAGAAAAACAACTATAGAGGACAAAATTTGAAAAAAAAAATAATTTAAAATAAAATAAATAACAATAAAAAAATAAGTACCAGATTTGAAAGATTAAAAAATCATAAGGGATATAACTGAAAAATATTTGTAATTTGATAGATTATTTATTTAAAAAATGATTTGGGGTGAAATTGAGAAAAGTTATAAAAGGCTAACCCAATATAATCAAACCCAAAAACTAAAAAAACAAGAAAAAAAATTACAAATAATAAAAATAAACCAAATAAATCAAATAAATTTGGACGAACCTTTTAATCCTGGTATAATCTTTGAAACCTGTAACTTTTAAAATCCTGAACATGGATTAAATAAAAAAAACTAACTTTCAATATATTTAATTTTAAATGATGAAATCGTGTAAAAAATATTAATAAAAAACTTGCAAAATAAAAACATCAACAAAAAGAATATATATAAAATTTGATAAAAGAATCAAGGAGGATGAAATTTGAAAAAAAAAATGATCCTCGACAAATTAAATTATAATTAAAAGAATGATGATTAAATTTAAAAATTAAAAAATCAATGGAGGTAAAGTTGAAAAATATTTGTAATTTGATAGATTATTTATAAATTAAAAAATAATAGGGGTGGAATATAAATAAATTGTTGAGGACTAATTCAATAGAATAAAAATAACAAATGTTTTTTAACAAAACAAAACCAATAAAAAGTTGATAAAAAATAGAAAAATATTAGTACAGGAAAAGAAAAATAAACCACGTAAATTTTTTAAACTTGGTATAATCTTTAAAAATTATAAATCATGAAATATTTGATTTGTATTCAATAAGGAATAATGAGGATAAAATTTAATAAAAAAACAAAAAAAATGCAATTTAAAAAAATAAAAAATACTGTTAAATAAAATAAATTATAATTAAAAGAATAAAGACTAATTTTTAAGATAAAAAATTATAAAGACTAAAATTAAAAAAATATTTGTAAAGACTAAGCAAACTTAAATAAATATTTTAAATTTGATTAACTTGTGAAATTATAAATTAGAGTCCAATCAAGAAATTTATGATGTACCGATTTAAAAAGCTAATTTTTTTAAAAAGTTTTGAAGGTGAAAAAGATCGATTTTATTTTTAAGAGCATGAAAATATTTATACTGTTTTTTTTTAAATAAAAATATGAAAAAGTTCATAGTAGTTTGTACTGTATTATTTTATTAACAATTAAATTAATAACTTTTTTTCTAATAATAAATTTACAATTACACTCTTATGATAAATAGTAATTTATGCATTGATCGTAATTTATGCATTGATCCATGTGGATTTAGTTTTTTATTTTATTTTTGTTAAGAGGGGTCCCGTCTCTGGCTGTATGCTTAGGTAGGCTGTCTAATTAAACACAGCCGCTCTTTCGGCTTCCATCGAGTTCTTTTTTATTATTAGTCTTTATATCTGACTTTACACTCTTCCTTCCAAAGCAGTATTGCTTGTGCTAATTAGCTTGTGCTTTTTTAAATAAAAAACATATTTTTTAGTTTTTAAAGATATTATTTGTCCTTAAAAATTATTGTGTTTTTTTAAAAAATCACAATTCCTCCAAGCTAAATACATTTTTAATCTCCAAGTAATGGAATATTACCTAACCAAGCATCAAAGAGTATGGAGCATATGAGACGGAGGTTTATTATTATTATTATTATTATTATTATTATTATTATTATTGCAATAATAAAAAAACAAATTAAAAGGGCTCAGCCTTTTAATATGTATTGTAAGAGAAGAAATATCATGAATTCAGATAGTGAATTAATCTTTGTGTACTTCATTGCACTAAATAGGTGCCTTGAAAAGAGGGGCAAAGTCTTTTTTTCTAAAGGAGATTTAAATGTTATTTGCAAATTGATCGAGGGTAATTTAGTTATTTACTTTTTAAAATATACAATTGCCCTTGAAAGCTAAAAAATTATGCCTTTTGTACGATGATTTTTGTGTATTTTCCCATTTATTTATATAGTTAATTAATGATTGTACCCTTCAAAGCTAAAAAATATTGACCATACAAAAATGAGTTTTTTTTTTTTGTCTTTACACAATTTTTGGGCAGTAAAATAATATATATAAATAACCTTTGACTTAAAGAAAATAAAAAGGCTGGAGAGGGCGTTTTGCAAATTGGTTTTTCTGTATTATTTGCATGCCCTTGGGTTCTGTTTAGTAATTTGCATTATTAGAAATTTAATAAATCAATTAAAGAGGCAGGTGCATGTACATGCACCTGTGCATCAATGTCACGTGCGCTATTCTAGAGACGTGTGGGGTGTCTTTTGATAACAAAAAGTTATTGGTCCTCTTCTTAAAGTTGTTTGGTGG